AAGAGCCGAATATGAGAAAACGCAGCCTTTGGAGGACGCAGTAGGACCGACAGCTGAGTTCGGCAGGCGGTAACATTGTTTTTCCGGGAATTTTGACAAACCAGCTCCTGCATTGTCTTCGGGCTCGGGAGGTTTGCCCGGATCGTTGGCCGCCAAAATTGCCGCCCTAAGAGGATGACGGTAAGTACGGGATATAACTTTCGGCGCTTTTGTTTCCCGACTTTCTCCCGCGAAAGTTAGTATCAACTCACGCATTGCTGGTGCCCTGTCAGGGCTACGAAACTATGAGCGACTCTTTCAATGTAGACGCCTAAGAGCGTCAACTAGTGCTCTCAGCACATCCTCGGCTCGGACGCTTGCCATCGGCAGGACGCTACAGACAGGCTCAGCTAATCCCGAACTGAGTCCATCTTTTTCTTATAGAATCTGTAGACGACATTGACGAGTGATTCCAGTTGTATGACGAAGTGTGATGTTTCCGGAGAAGAGCGAGAATGCGGCCATGCAACACTATTCAACGGGTCGTGATCGGATATCGAGGGGAATGCGGGAAGTGTATTGGCGCGTCTCGTGCGTACCATCGGTGAGCGCGACTCCACTGCCCCGTCTCTGCGCCTACTTGTCTCCACCACTTCTCCTCGTTTTACCGTTACAACGGACCGGCGGTACGTGCGCTCATGAGCTGGAATTCGAAGTTGCCTATCCTGTAAGCTGGAATCCAATGTTGCCCGACGTTGCGTGGATGCTCACTGCTCATCTCTGGGATATAAAAGCCACGGTATGTTGTCGTGGTCCTTTAGTGCTCTGGACATCCTCTCCTCAGCAACATCCCGACAGCAGACTCAGCCATGTACGCCTTCGCCAAGCTGCTCTCTGCCCTCTCGCTTCTCGCCGTCGCTCACTTCGCCCCCGAGGCGACGGCTCAAAGTCCCCCTGCCAACCGTCCCACTGGCGGATCCATCTGCTCTACCACGCCGTTCTTGGTCGAGAGCGTGATACCCGCCAATATCAACGACAACGGCGGCGAGCTTTTCCCGCCCCAGCCATTGACGACGTACCCGACCTACACTGCGCTGTCCGTCGGCACTCAGAACTACACCTGCGGAGATGACGGCACCTGGGCGTACGTCCAATTTTATCTCGACCTCTCCTGAGTTTCGGCTGACATAGCCCGTTGTACAGCGGCAGCGGTGCAATCACCTACCTGTACGACATCTCCTGCCTCCCGCTGGATCACCACCAGCCGTTCACGTCGTTCATCGCCGCACTCTGGGACGCTGCCCCGCCCACCGTGACTGCTGCAGACATCGTCGCTCTCACTGAGAAAGTCAACCCGGGTGTCGGGTACGGCATCCATTACTGGATCTCAGACCCAGTCAACGCGACAAGCGGCAATATCTATGCCAAGTGGGACTTCAGCCAGTCCGAGCGGATGGAGAACGACACCAACAAGGCGAATGCGTACTTGGTCGCCGGCGAGTCGGCCAATGTCCCTGCTCCGAATGACCCTTCGGTCAACTCGAACTGGCTTGTGGAGCCTGTACTTGTGATCAACGGGACGAAGGTCGGACAGCTGGCGGACGAGGTGTGGAGGATCAATTCGAACGGTGGTCAGGCCCCGAACACCGTACGTGAAAGCTTGTGGGGATTATCTTAGTTCTGGCAGCGGCTGACCTCATCCCTAGACGTGCACTCCAGGAACCGACCTTCAGGTCAAGTCCACGCTGGACTTCTGTACGTCTCCTGTCTCTATCGCTCGCAGCATGGCACTAAACCCCACCTCTCCATAGTGTTCTACGGTGGTGCTTGGGCGGATACCATCTTCTAAGGTTGAGGATGTTCGGTGAACTCTCCTTAGAAGAAAAGCGTTTCTATGCACAATTTTATTGGTCTAGCATTCTCTGTTGCGTGTTTGAGCGTTCTGCGTTTGTGAGTGTGTTGGCAGCGGGAACGCCATAATCGGGGGCCGAGCGTTGGTTGATGACTTGTTGTCGTTCGAAGAATGCAGCTTACCGGAGTGTCGTGGCAGTCATGAATGGTTGTACACGCCTGGTGTTATGCGAGTCTTTCAACAAGAGCCAGAATTGTCGCTGTGAGGCTCTGAACGTTGAACCCCGAGCGTCTCTTTCTGAGTGTGTGTGGCCATTATGAGCTCGTCTGCTGAAATGAAGTACTTAAAAGAGATGATCCTGGATAATGCAACTCTGTTGAATATCTAAGTCAAGGTCTGCGCTGTCACTTCCGCAGTGGAATGGCGTCTATCTTATCAAAGATTAACCAAAAACGCCTGGATTAATCATCGAGTCTCAGACATGCAGAACGGGCTGCCATAGAATCGAGCTACTTATTCGAATTTAAATTCAAGGGTCCCCCCGGGCATA